CTGAGCTCTGAAAATGGGACACTATGAAATTGGCTGCAAATCTAAAAACATCTCATGCAAAAACTTTGTTAAATAACTTGAATTAAAGCTGAAATTCTGCACTTCCATCACATCTTGATTATCCGATTTAAGAGCCACTGTGGTTGTAGAGAGGCTGAATTATAAAACTATAAACATTTCATTAGCCATCAAACTGTGGCCCTAACTATAAAAAACAAATTAAGGATTTTAGCTGATTATATTCCGCTTTAACTAAGTTAAAAGGCACAAAAGCTGCAGGTTGTACCAGCATTCCCATCGCACATCTATTTCCCATTTCTCAATATGACTTCACGTCTTCTTTGGCTCTCGGAGGAGGCGGACGCATCTTTCCCCCCCTCCCTCCCTTATCTTCCCTGCTGCTGCTTCTATGTGTTTGTCTAGTCTCGTCTAACTCTAACCCTCAAAGGGTTTCTCAGTCTTGTTCTCTAAAACCTAAAGATTTGATCAACTGGTCCCGTAATGGAATTGACACCCTGCTGGGCTTGGGAGAGCCCGATTGTCCTGCAGAGACGTTTGCTGCCGGATACTCGATGGTCGGTTGCGTCGTGTGTCTGGCGACACTCTCGATGCAGGACATTGAACGACATCTACCAATTTGGAACCACGATAACAGAGTTCGGGCTGATTGGAGCTGGCTTGGACCTTATCGAAGAACAAGAAGCTACAGCTGTTCAAAATCCCATAAGGCTGGCCGACATGATAGACAATTGGCAGGGCTGTGAGTACTCAGACTGTGTTTTGAACGCAGTATGGATAACATCTTGGAGAAGAACAACGGGAATTGAGATAATTGGTGACCAGTGATGGACATTAGACCAACTGTAAAAATTAGATGCAGTTGTTCCACCAAACATTCACCATCTTCACTCATGCAGCCCCCCTGGCGCCAGCTGAAGGCCTGCCAAGGTTGAAGCTGACTGGAACAACAAATTCTTCCCATGATAACAGGACTGTTATCAGAACTCTTTGTACCTCCTTCAAGGCCACCTTGGTCCACTGGAGACTGTTGACCTTTGCTTAACCGGGCGTGGTGACACTTTCTCTCAGCTGAACACGGGATATACACACACACATGCACACGCACGAAACATGTACACTGATACTGATACGCCCTCACTCCCCCGAATCCAACGCCTCCTCCCATGCTTACCTTCCATCCAATGTGGACACCGAATCAGCTGGAGGCGCAATCAAATCATCTTGGTTGTGGGCAACTGCAACTGACAAATAAAGGCTATCTCATCTCTCATCATCATCACATCCGAACATGGGATGATGTGAAATTGCTGGAGGTCTGTGAGCTGCCTCATGTTGCTTTTTAAACTCCCATTAAGCTGCTGATTTCCACACCTCTTTTGAAACTGAGAAATGCCGCTAATTAGTGTTTATCCTGTTACATGACCCCTTTGTCGCTGCGTTTGTAACTGTGATTTTGAATGACTGCAGAGTTTGAGAGAACAAAGGCCTAATGGGATGCCTCTTCTAACCTGGTGAGGTCTGCAGCTTTTTATATTTGACGGGTTGTTACTGAAACCTGCGCAGCAGCACGAGGGAAATATGGGATGGTGACTCAATCAGGGCATTGCTGCAGAAATGGTACATTTAATGCGTTACCATTAAGCACCTTCTAACAGAACTATAATTATGGGGTGTGTGTGTGGTTTTTTAAAATGTATTGGTTACCACCACGCTCACGGATCTGATCATCAACCTGTTGCATTAAATGGTCTCTAGTTGAACATTTACATCACGGAGCTCTAAACATCTTGAGCTTAAAATTCAATAAGCAGGCCTTTTAGGTCCCGAGGATCCGAACGCTGCAATAAAAAGCAGAAGAAAAACAAAATATAAACTTACTGCTATCATAAATTAGCTTAAAATGCTGTGAATACAAATCACCATGCACAATAAATTTTCATGACTTTCATTTGTGTTTGACAGAATTATTTCCAAGTAGGCAAGCTGCCAATAAATAAGTAAAGGTAGGCAGATATTCAGGAAGGCTGCTCAAAGGGTTAACACACTCCTGACCTGGATGCTTTTTCCAAATTAAATCTGAATCTTGTCACTGTGACCCCCTTTTATTTTGTTGATTCATCTGTTACTACCTACACTGAACACAATATGGCCCATCAACAATGCTTTCACCAGCCATTAGGACAACAAAGGCAGAGCTGCCAGTGCCTCTCCCGTGAAACGGCATCCTTTGTTTATGATCTTTGCAACCCTAGTCGTTTTTGGGGTTTTTTTGCTCACTCCTTTCATCTTTTCTTCGCTTCTCTTTGTCCAGCTCTCTACACTCATTTGCCATCTTCTCCCAGTTTTTTTCCTTCAATTATCCCCCCCCCCCCAATCCCCCCTAATGCTTCCTAACACCCAATCTTCCTCTCCTTTTCTTCTTTACCCTCTCTCCATTTCTTGTTTTGTATGCAAGCCCCAAGGGAGAGAAATGGGTGAAAAGCACTCTCTCTGCACCACTGTCACAAAAGACTGGTGAGTCATCTCCACTTATGTTCCTGTCTCCCTCCTCCCACAAACACACACACACACACACACACACACATACGCACACGCACACACACACACACAGGAAATACACTCACATTACCTGCCGTGCATTTACAGGAAGACGCGCACAGACACACACACATAAGTGAGAGTGCTGGCATACAAGAAGCAAAATTGAGAGATACAAGTATGCATACAGGCACACGGACAGACACACACACACATTCCACAGCTTTACAAAAAGGCCTGAAATTAAAACCCAAGTCACATAATGTAGTTAATAAGGGTGGTTGAAAATGGCTTTCACCCATGTGTGCTGCTTTTTATACCTTACCGGATTACTTTGAATTTCTAAAAAGGAGAATTCATGTCAAATGAAGACGCCAGCCCACAGAATCTGAAAGCTAAAAAGACAGAGGCTCATGCAAGAGATACTCCAGGACCGGGGGACACAAAATTAAATATGGATAAAAATGGATAAAATTGAAGGCAAACATGTGTAGGAGAAATTCCAAGATTTAGTATAATGTGGTTTTGGTCTACCTGTGGTTTATGAACCACAGATGAAATTCTCTTCCTCCATCTGCTGGTGGACTGAGTGATTTACAATGCAGTCATGGTGCTGCTGTGTGAAAATACTCTATTACCAGAATGAATCCTTCTTAATTACTCATGAATGACCAGAGTGGCTGCTTTCAAATGGCATGAGAAAATGTTCCTGTCTGAAATGTGATATTATAGAAGTACAGTACTGTGCAAAATTCTTAAGCCACACTTCATTTTTCTTTATATTTTCCTAGGAAAATAGAAAATAGGTACGACAGTTTGTAGAAAACACAGTTTGTACAATTCTAATGAGCTTTAACGCCAGTATTTGGCATGACCACCTTTATTCTTCAACACAACCTGAACTCTCTTGTAATTTAAGGAATAGTTCTCCAAGGCTTTTTGAGGATATTCACAGATCTTCTTTGGATGTTGCTTGTCTTTTTCTCTATCAAGATGATCCCACACTGCTTAAATAATAATGAAGTCTTGGCTCTGGGGAGGCCAATCCTTGAGTTCGGTTATATGCTTTTACTGCATTGGCAGTGTGTTTGGGGTTTGGGATCACCGAAAAATGAATGGTGTTTCATGGTAGATCCGCATCTGACGGAACCAAAAATTCCGCCTTTGGATTCATCACTCAATAAGTCCTGTTATCACAGATTTTTTATCCAATTCTTGTGGAATTTGGCACACCTCAGTATTCCCCCCCCCCCCGCCACAGACTGGCGACCTGTCTAGGGTATACCCTGCCTCCCGCCCTAAGACAACTGGGATAGGCTCCAGCCCCCCTCCAACCGTGACAAAGATAAGCGGAAGAGAATAGATGGATGGGGACTTTGTCCAGTTCCCTCAAAATTGTTTAGGATACACTGCACTCCATCCAGAGATGTGTCATGTTTTCAGCTAATAGCTCCTCAGATATACTATTTTATGTCTGTCAAACATATCTTTGACATTTTTCATAGATTCAAGCAAATTTCTATATTTTTGCAACAGGCATCCAGTGACAAAGTGCCTATAGAGATCATTTAAAATTGGTTATATGCTAAATTGTCTGGTTCGTCCCTTGAGTTAAATTCCATTTTTATGCTTGAATGATTCACAGGTCAGTGTTAAGAGACAGGCAATGTCCAAGGGAAAGCTCTGAAATACTTTCAGAAAGCCTGGAGAACTATTGGTCAAGACCACTTTAAAAAGTCTGGCTCCTTGGAAATAAAAAAAAAAAAAATGAGCAGTTGCTTGAGACTTTTGCACAGTACTGTATAACAGGCTATCATATGGAAGGAACCGAAGTGGATTACAAGTACCTTGCTCAGTAGAAAGTAAGGTAGGGAATGAGCAGTTCATCTCCCAATGATGTTTCCCACTCACCTGCATCATCTTTCTACACGTTCACCAGGTCTCAGTCTAATTAGCCACACGCCAATCTGAAACCTGAATATGTGAATATTTAACCTGCTATTTCATCAGCCGTCAACTGTCAAATCTGAGAAGCATAGTGAATAATTTATCAAAGCAGAAATCATACAGACGGACAAAGATCAAATAGCAGCTAATTTATTCATTGATAGTGACCTTAAGTTTGGAAATAAACATATTTTGTATTGTTTACTCGTGGGGAATAGTGGAATTACAATATGATGGTGGTGTTGGGGCAAAGCCGACTCCAACACTCAGAGAATCACCTGATCATGCTTTACAGAAACCTGCTTGTGAGCTATTCAGACACATCAAATATTGAAAGCCTGGAGTTTCCGTTTCACACACAGTGAGGGAGGGATGAGAGCAGTGAGAGAGCAGGCAGACAGAGCGGTGGAAGAGAGGGAAAAGCTGAAATAAATAAATAAATAAAATAGACCAAGTGGGATTAAGAGGAAAAACCCAGCAGTCACCCTGGGAGGGACACACGTGAGGTGGGATGGAGGAAGAGAATGAGGAAAAGGGCCAGAGCATCGAAAGGTAAGGCGAGGGGAGAATAAATGTTTATGACTAATCAGGTTGCCCTGACTGTAACAATAGAGGCCGATCCCTTGTAAGGCAGCTGGTGACTGATTGGCTGATAACCTTGTAGTTAGGCGGTTAGGAGGGCATGTTTTTTAATTCTTCTGTCTCTCTTTCAAACTTCAGTGGGATAACTTCTACTCAGGCCAAAACAGTGACTCAGAGTTGTGGCAAGGACAGCGATGAGTCACAAAGCCTCCAGGAACCAGATGAGGAAGACCAGGCTGACGGAGGACACTATGATGGAGGTGGAGAGCCAAGCCAGGTCAGATGAGACAAAACCACATAAATGAAATATAACATAAACAAAACCTCTATCCATCACAGTCAGTGCAACTCATATGAAACAGAAAATGAGCATTTAGCGTGTCATTTTGTTTGTGTGCTTGATAAAGGGTGCAGACGATCAGTGCAGCGGTGCAGAAGTGTTACCAGACAGCACCCTGGTAGCCACAGACACCCAGGACGATACCGGGTGCCTCCCATCGTCCTCCCTGCAGACAGAAGAAGAGTTGTCCCCCATTTCTGTGTTATCTCATCCCTCTAACACACAGAGTAGGTCACACTCCCAGCTGACAGATGCATGGGGCCAGCAGGGTGCATTTATTGAAAGCACTTGCTTGTGTGAGACTATTTAAATGTAAATGGCTTATAGCTAATGCTGCTTAAGAGCTTTTCTTTGCCATTTGTGCTTTTATAGATCCCCCACCTGAACCCTGCTGGTACTGCTTGAGGTCTCTTGACTCCGAGTATCGCCCTGAAACTACAAAACAGGTTTTTAAATTCATGACAAAATATATTTTCCATTAGAGGGAGTGTTGAGAAAATGCTTCATGCATTCCCCATTCATTTAGTTTTCTCTAATGTAACACACACATATAAAATAATAGAGGATTTGTTATTGCTGTGCATTTTTTTTGTGTAATTTTTAAAGACTCAAATTAAATTTAAGCCTGAAGTCACTGTGCACAGCTCTTTTCTCTACTGTAATGCAGACCTCTGCTTTTCTTGGGCAGCAGGACGACTCTGATTCGTCAACGCTGCCCTCTAGTGGTCAAAAAGTGAGCTACCAAACAGACCCTCGGCCACACTTTGGTGTAGCTTGGTCGTCCCACTCGCCGTGTCACCCACTGTGGGGAAGCGAGGGGCCCTGCTGGGGACAGAGAAACCAGGAAGTGCACTATCAGACACACACCTGTCCACACTGCCATCTGGACTTGCCCCCTGACACACTACGCTGGCATGAGGTTTGGCTAAGCTAAGCCCACGTAGACATAAATAGATCATCACTAAAGATACCGCAGTTTATGCCACTCTGCTTTCTTTCTGTCTGCACAGGCAAAGTGTCTGCTGTTTGAAGATCTGAGGAAGTCAAACAAATAGATGAAGAAAATGTTTCTTTTTTGTTATTAAAAATAGTGTCTGCTGTCTAAATTAGAATATTCTCAGGAAGCCTTTAGCGTGTTAGTGTTGTGCAGTATCTGCTTGTGCTAGTAAATATCTATCTATTTACACTTAAGCTTTGTCATCACTATTCCTCATTATTATTATATTATATATTATTATTTTTACTTAATGTTGAACTTCTGTGACTTTCACTGAGCAAGGTGAAGTCATCCGCTTCATTTTCCTGGTCTACATCCCTATGTTAAAATTAAGATTGTTTAGATCTTTTAATTGTATTTTTTCAATAAATAATGTTAGAAATGGACTAAATGGCGCAAATATGCACTCACATTCTTATTTTATTTTAATGAAAATTTTTTTAACTTAAGATCTTTAGGCAGAACATTCTTATTGGATGTTCATCAGGGGCATTATCATATACATGTCTTGTCTGTTGGATACACTGGCAATAAATTCACCATTAGCACTGGACAGGTTTAAACGTGACTTAATGAGTTAATAAGTTTTTATAAGTAGGGTATATCTCAGTGTGTTCTGTCTTTCCACTTCTCTATTTTTTAAATTTGATCTTTACTACAAATCCCCTTTTGTTTATTTCCCCTAATTCCTTTTTTTTCTTTGATTTATCACACTCATTTGAGGTTTTTGACCTCATGCAGTCCAATCTGATGTCAAGGGAGCCTAAAAAGTAAAACTGATCGATAATAACCCATAAAAAAGTTTCAAAAACAGTTCAAAATTCCCCCCATTGTGAACAAATAACATAGTTTCAGTTTTTCCACATTCAGTTTATCTGCTGTCATGTAAATGTTATATCATAAGTAAAAAAAACTGCACTGGCTCGGCTCTTCAACTTCCATCTTAGCTTTACTCCCTTTTCTTTGTGAACTGCTGTCACAATGTGATCTATTGGCTTGTTTTTTGGTGCAAAGTCCATCTTTTATGCAATTTTATCTTAGTTTACTTTACAAACCAAGACATTAAAGAGAAGCTATCTGTGTCAGTCAGCCTGTGACATGGTCCAGTGTGAAATTCAGGCAGATAAGGGAGTACCCGAAGAAAACCCAAGCAAACAGACTCAAGACTCAAGGAGGGGCAGCCATCTGATTTATAAACCCTTCATAAAAGCAGCCTGTTTTAAAGGGAGTGAATGGAATGTCTTGAACAGAAAACTGAGCTGGTTCCTTGTGATGTCACAATATTCTGTGCCAGATTCTTCTAGAATCTTATTGGCTGTTGGACTCCTTGTGGCTGTAGGTAGTCTCCCTGTCATTCCTTACATATTGATGTAACATTTTTCAATGTTTTCTTTAAACTACAGTGGGATTAGCCTGTGTCCCACACATCTACTTTCACTGAAGTCCACTGTGAGAGTACAAGCTGCAGAAACCTTGTAATCCAAATATTAAAACATGGAAAACCTAGAGGAGAGCATTGGGGAAGAAGAGAATTATGGCATTGATCAGGAATACAGTGATCCAGAGACAGAATATTTCAGTGATGACAGCTGTGACTGGATCTTAGACAGGAAAATCATGTGGCTGTCACTTCCTCGTCTGTGCTTGGAGCGTGTATTCAGTTTTCTGCCAGACCGGGATCGCAAAACTGCAGCTCTTGTTTGTCATCAGTGGCACAACGTCATGCGCTCACCTTCTCTCTGGCGCCACCGCCGTTTTCACTTCAGTGGTCGGATTTCCAAATTCAGGAAGCCAGATTACTCCTCTGCCATTGCCTATGTGAGCCTTCTGGGCGCCTACCTGGAGAGGTTGGAGGTGACTGTGTGTCCTCCAAGGAAAACCCAGGCAGCCCTGAGACTGAAGGGAGCGATCACTCAACTGTTTTCTGAGCTCATCAGGTAAAAGATCCCTGCCTGAACCAACTCGTGGTTTTACACAAATTAGGGCCCCACTCTGTTACCCTGTGCAATACAAGTAAAAACTCACACTGCAACCTTATTATCATTGCGACCTCCACAGGGTGAGGGCCCCACTGCGCTCGCTAGCCGTCATGAACCTGGAGTTGGACAGAAGCGCTTGGACTTCAAGCCTCAGAGCCTCAATGGTGGGCTGCCTGATTTCATTCCTCCAGAGAGGCAGCTCAAAACTCAACTCCATTTGTCTGAGCGGGATGCGAAACTGCATCCATCAGGTGACTACAGCACACATCCTAAGATAATGTTTCAGCAGCTATATGTCACCACCCAACTTCCAGCTCTTCACTACAGTGCTAGAGTTATTTAAAACACAGAACAGATCTCATCAGCTGAGAACTGGAGCCAAAGTATTGTGTGTTTCAATTAATCAGTCTTCATATTGAATAGTAACTTAGATTTTGGTGAAAAGTTACTAAAAGATGTTCAAATTCAGCGACATAAGACTATATTACTGAACTGAATTGAAGCTAAGTAGTTTAATATTCTAATTTAAATCAAATATCTTCTTTGTGATGCTTGATTCTTACCTTAATGTTTTATAATAAATGCCACAATTTTAGTTACCAGTTTGCAGGTCTTCATATAAAGCTGCAGTAAGTTTGTGTTTAAAGCCTCTCCTGCCAGACAACCACAAGCTACAAATGTTGACTTTTGGGTTAACATCAATCACAAACTCCTAAATATCAAGCCCAGTGGAGCTGTAACACTCCTTATTACTTCCTAAATGGATTTCAGATAGTTTAAAGTTTAAGACCTCTCACTGGGCAATGTTTGCTTTCTAGGCTAGATTGATTATTATACTGATTGTGGTCTTCTTAATCTTTATATAAACCATATAAAGATTAAGAAGACCACAATCAGTATAATAATCAACCTGAACCTTTAACGTCTAGGGTGTGGAGCTGCTTTCTGCCTTGTTACATTATGAGACGCGCTTCTACCCCCGGTGCTATATTTCCTCTTTGGATTTGGAAGCATTCTTTTCTGGTTCGGTGAACGTCTACCTCAACTCCAGCGTGCCCGACAACCTGAGCCAGTTGCAGTGTCTCACCGATCTGAGGCTGAGTTACTCCTGTTTGTCAGATGAGCTGCTAATGGCCCTCCAGCAAAGACACGGAGGAGGGAGGCAAAAGTCCAGCAGAGATGGCAACACCCTGCAAACATTTTTACTGCACTGCTGTCTTAAAGAACCACATCAACAGGTAAGCAAGAAACGAACCTTTCAAGTGGCCTTATTTTATTATTGTGTGAGGATGTGTGAATGATGTAGCTGTTATCCCCAACAAAAACCGGATTCACTGCTTCTGTGGTTGGACACAATGTAATGGCAGATGTATAGATCCTGGGTAGGAAGACAGGGTTTAAAATACCCCCACAGGTCTAATTTCCATCTCCGCTTCTTTTTGTCTGTCAAGCTGATTTGTGGCAGCTCATGGGCAACTTTGGCATCAAGCTGCCCAGACCTCAAAGTCAAGATTTCAGTGAACCAAGTTGTTAACATTGATCGCCTCGCCAGGATGCTGCTGCCCGAGATTCCCCTGAGTGAATACTGCATGTCTGCTTTCTACTCGCCCAACGAAGACTGGAGTCCCAAGCCTCTCCTCAGCGACATACTGCCTCAGTACAGACACACCCTTCAGGTCAGGGTGCTGAGCAGGCAGCATTACAGAGTTCAGAGTGTAGATATGATATGATAAAATGAATGCCTGCTCATTACAATCAGCACATTACTGTATGCTATATATATTACATCAGCTCATTTGAATTTGATCTGCAGAGGCTCTGAAGTTGAAATTAACAGACGTTCTCTCAACTTATGTCCACAAGCTTGGATAGTCACAAGCAATGTCATTGCATCTGCAACCAGGAATAACATTGCCTATTGGTCATTGTTTATGGCATTTATTGTGGATTATTGATGGGATTGTTACTAGATTTTTAAACATTCCACGAGAAGGTTCAAATCCACTGGCTGGCTGGTGCCTTTCTTTGCGAAATCATTTAATGTAATACAACCAGTGTTGGGAAGGTTACTTTTAAAATGTATTCCATTACAGAATACAGAATACATGCCCCAAAATGTATTCTGTAACGTATTCTGTTACGTTACTCAATGAGAGTAACGTATTCTGAATACTTTGGATTACTTA